AATTTCTCCTCAAAAACAGCTACTATATGAGCACAAAGGTCAACGGTCTATATACCATGCTTGACTCCTATGGGTTTTGACATTGCAGCAGTGTTTTTTTAACACCCTTGGCATCTGTATATGACTAGAGCAATCGACTGCAAGGGTTGAAGTGCATGGGCACACATGCAGAATAACTGGATTGCACTTGATGTGGTGCGACATGAGTCAGTGGTCAAGCGTCCCTTTGTTGCTTTGCAATATGATCTGGAGATTTGATGTTCATTTTGTACAGTGGTTGGTTTGAAATGATGATGTAGAGTGTTTTGCAGTCAAGGACTCATCTGCAGTTAATGTTGTATAACAGTGATATGCTGTTCTGCTGTTTCAGCAGTGCTGAATATAATAGAATGTACCACACTCTATAGTCTGTGCCAAGGTAATGTTTTCATTTTCTATGCCATCCCTTTACACAGGTAGTCTCCACTGCCCCTCATCAGAGCTTTCAGATGTCTACCTGTGAACGATCAGCTGCAAACCTTTATGGATATAGAATCTTCTACACCTCATCTTTGCAGGGACAGTGATACCTCTGGACTGGTGACCCTGGGGAGGACTGGGTGACTATTACCTACTGATAATTGTTTTAATATTTTATTGTTGAACTTAAGGTAAATTTGCCTTATTAATATCTCTCCTTTACCTTGCCCCTTCCCAGGTGGGGTTTCCTATTCATTTCTTGGGTAATTCCTAGGATTGATTGGTTTTTGTGTGTGTATATGTCTATATATGCAGGTTTATTGTCATTTGCTGTTTGAAAGGTCACTTGACCAGACTCTACAAAGGCAGTGATCAGGAGTCCTAAATTCTTTTCAGTTGGTGGGTAATAAATATCTGCACAAAAAGACAAAAACATACTTGCTCTCTCTGTTGTCTCATTCCTAATTGTTTTATTCTATATGGATATGGCAACGTTTCAACCACAAATTTTCTTCCTTAGGCAAATGTGACGGTGTTTTCTTTTTTGTCTGCCAGTTCCTAATGAACAGCCCCTCTCCTGGATTTGTTGGGCTGGTTCTCACAGCAATCATCTAAGGATCAGACTTGAGATGAGCCAGAATTCTATTTATAAAATATATGGCGATGATAAAAGTCATTTTACTAATAGTTATTATACTGGCCCTGGCAAACCTAGCTGCTCTGTTCAGATCGTGGTCCTGCTATCCTCCACACATTAGGTCCACACCTGTGTAACTGCTAACCTGCTCTTTTTTCCATGCTCTCGCCTTTGTTTTTTCTTACACATATTTACTTAGTTAGATAAGTGTATTATCCACACACTGGAATGATACATCATACAATGATACATCCACCTGGCCTGAATGAAAACAACCAATCAGAGCCGAGAAAGCTTGTTGTTGAATCGTATTCACAGGGCCCCAAATACAGATGCTCTGGGACCCTGGGAATGAGACTCAACAATCAACTATCTTCAGGCCTCCAACCCAGAGCGTTGTTATATCTTTCTCGGCTCTGATTAGTTGTTTTCGTTCAGGTCCCGTGGATTCCTGCAAATGCCATGCCATAGGAACCTGCTTTTTCACAGATTATCTGTCTCATGTACTACTGTCAGGATATAGTTTATTTTTTAATAATAAATACATTTTAATAGGTTGGGTCAAACTTCATTAACACTTGCAGGACAAAGCCGTGAACAGATTGAGATGAAAATAACCCCCTTTAACCTCCCTAAAGCTTTCAAAGTATCTGTGAAATCCCAGATTTCTGTGTATTGCTTCATCCCTGAAACTGACATTTCAGCCTTTGAAAAACTTTTGTATAAATGTTAAGGGCCATGAGGAAGTAAGGAGTAGTTTTTTGCTATTTCAATCTTCACCTTTGGAACGTTTGTTGGCAGGATGTTGGCAGTAAGGTCTGAACATAAGGATGGATTAATAGTGAGAAATTATATAGAAGTGATTTACCTCTGGTGGGATTGACAGCGGTGCAGAAAGGTGTCAGCAGAGTCTCGTGGTGGAGCACCTTATAAAGAACCTGAGAGATGTCAAGTCTCTGTCAGAGTCACATGAAGCAGAATGACTGTGACTGTCTGCACTTTGACTCGATAAAAATAATATGCAGGGAACATTAAACAAAAGATGGGACACAGAATGTCTTATTTTTCCCCCTTCACCTGACAGCACCTGGTTGTGTACCAGCTGCCTTCAGTGCTCAGGAATATGAAGTTGAAATAGACAGAAATATGGTGTATGAGCATAAACGTGGGCAGAATATAGCACCCATTCTTCCATTTCAGCTGTGTTTGATCTGCAGCCATGAGCTGCATAATCAAAATGTACACATAATCTATACATAGAGCCAGTTTAAGGTATGAGAGAAGTAAGTGTAGGGATATATGGGTTATCATTTTAGAGAAAAGGCCATGTATCCCAAATACAATGCATGCTGAGAGGTTTGTCAATATGTTAACAGTGCTTCTACAACTTGATTTAATGACATACAAGTAATCTACTCCTTCTACCTCATAATTAAATATTCCAGAATCTCTGAATATGCAAATGTTGTTTACTTCTAAAGTTTTGCTCCTTCGCTGTAAAGTCCATTCTCAGTGGATGTGCACTGGTGGCTTCAAGTTTCTACATCACACTGTAGATACTGGACCAGGTTTTCTCACATTCCAAATTCTAGCTTGGTTTTTTGGTGCAGCATTTTTTCCCCCTAACTTGTAATCCTTATTTATTCCAAGGAATATAAATTTCCATGTTTACAGCACTATCCTTGATTTAGGTCACAAAGTAGCCAGTGATGCTGTAAATGTTACTACTACTATTATACTGCATCTGAATTCATTTTTGGAACTTTTTTTAAAATCAAATTACATATAGTATTTCTCTATTATTAAGCATATGAATATTGGGTAATTGAGTTTTCAGGAATCAAAATCAGAATTTGTGGATTGGAAAATTATTCTATTTTATTATCAAAATGTTTCAGTTGTATCTAAATTTCAACATTAAGTACTAGTGATTAACTCTTACAATTAGTTATTCAGTTGCTTATAGGATTCAAATATTTATGGCCACCTTTTGCTTTCATAGAGGCTGCATTTTTCGGGCTTTTGTTTGTTGAACATAAGGGAAATGTATAAACAAGGTAGGTAATATATACACAAATTCATTTACAGTGGTGGAAATGACACTATGGCACATTTGAACATAAATGACAATATAGGTAACTTAAACAAAAGGGATAAAGACAAAATAGCAAGAAAAAACAAAAAAAGACAATCATATAAACATACAAGGAGCACAAAAGATAAAAGGTAAGGTAAAATACATTAAAAAAGCAAAGACTTCTATAGAGAAACTGGCCATTAACCTGATAGAATTGAAAAAGTTCGTTGCAATAGTGCGCCTGCGCAGCCTCAGATCTCCCCAGAAGAAGAAAGCCAGCCAGTCGTCAGCCACTTCCTGTTTACGTTTCCACAAATGACGTCACGCGGATAACATTTAATCAAACAGTTTCAAAGCCGAAACAGAGTTTAACTTGACAAACAACTCCTCAAGGTTCTTGTGACGGCTGGGTTAATATATCTTCCGTCTTAGCTACATACAGGAGCACCGGGGAGAGTGAGAGACAGACGGTTTTGGCTGTCCTGCTCATATTTGAGGACCGAAGCAAGCTAACGCTAAGTAGGTGACAAGCTAGCTGGTAGCTAGCTAGCGAGTTAGAAAGAGACACTCAGCAGCACTTCTCTATTAAACAGAGTGCTCAGCGTCCGTCAGCATGGAGAACAAATATAACCTCAAGAGTCCAGGTAAGCTCACTGTCTAATGTTGTTTCTTTGTTGGGCAGCGAGTTTGCTAACATGACTGACAGCTGTAACACACAAGTTCACTGTTGACATTCTTTAATTAACATACAGCAATTATGAACGAACTTCGTCGATGTTAAAGTACTACACTGACATGAGCCCATTATTGCGTATATTGACTCTAATTGTGAGTGTGTGTTTGCTAGCTTTGTACAGTAGAGAACTCCATATGGAAATACTTTGTTAGTGCACTGTACAGTATTCAGGACAAATACACCTAACGTTATATTCTTGTAAGTTAGCTCGCATGGTGTGCTGTACTGTATGGTTCCTGCGCTCAGAGAGAACGTGGAGCTGAGCTGTGTAACGTCACTCTTTGGTTAGGTGATGTCTGCCTGTGTAGCTACAGTCGTGGACGTTTATGAACACAGTTAAACTGGTCTAAAAACAACCAAAGTGAAGGTTTTATTGACAGAAGAGGACCTAGGTGGGGTCAGAGGGGTGATAGTTGTGATTTGCAAGTAGGGCTGCACAATTAATCGAAGTATTATCGAAAGCGCAATATGCAAATCGCAAGAGCTGTAAGGTTTTGTTAAAGGTAAAATGTGTGACAAACAGCATTATAATGAAGTACTGTGTATATATATATGTATATATCAGAGAAATGCAGGTTACTGTGTTATGGGGCTTAGCAATGTTTTAAAAACATATTGCGATTTGATTCACTGTTAGTGTAAATGATCAGATTTGCAATCACAATTGAATTTTTCAATGAAAGAACAATTAAGACCATGATGATGTGACATGTGTTGGGGTCTGTACCAAACAAATATGTTTTCTTACATCTGGAGAACATGATCTGTAGGCCAGGAACATCTCTGCAGAACTTCATTTTAATGCTGTTTAGTCACACATTTTACCTACTACTCCACATCTACTCGCAATGTTGTGGGGAGTTAAAAGAGCAAAGTGAGGTCCTTAAATTATAAATAACTTTCAGGTACTTTTATATATTACACAAACAAGTTCCAAATCCACATATTTAAGAAGCTGTAACCCACAAGTATTCGGCATTTTTGCGGTTAATCGATTATCAGAATAGCTGCAGATACATTTTCGACTAATCTTTCTCTCTTTTGTTGTTTCTTGCAAGCTACAATTTCAACTGTGCTTCTGTCTTTGCAGAAAAATATGTCTGATTCCCCACGTGAGTCCGTTGACTCCACAAATGAAACTCCCAGCAAGAAGACACAGTTGGAGGACGGATCACACTCTCTCAGTGTAATAAAAAAAGCAGTGGTGGTCTTGACCAGACTCCCTGAATATAAGGTCAGCACTCTGCGGCCACCAACGCCTCAGCAGTTCTACAGTGAAGATGAATCCCACAGCAGCTCTGATTCTGACATGCAGTGGGAACCAGAGGATAATTCTAGTGACTCTGATTTCTCAGTCACTGACAGTAAACAGAAAACTGGAAAACCCACCCAGAATGACACAAAGAAGACACCTGCGCCACAAACGAGTATGAACAATGACTCTCCACTCACATAATGACATTTTAAATTTGTCTCAACCTTTCTGGCTGGACATATTTTGATGTGGTTTATGAACAGAAAACTCTTAATTTGACTTGATGGTGCAAACATATTTATTTCCCAATGATAACATAGATATTTGGTCTTTTTCCACAGTGTCAGAGCCAGCGCCCATAATTATATCATCAGCTTTTGCCTATTGCGCTAATGAAATCACGAAGGTCCGTCCTGACTTACCAGAAGAAGAGGTCAAAGTGGGCATGATGGTCCTGGCGAGGAAGAGGCACATGAGATGGCAACAGGGAAAAATAGTGGAGATAATAACAAGAAGTAAGAAAATGTTCTAATGTATTACATCTGCCTTGTGCTCAGTATGACCGAACACCTGGAGTTTTACTCAAGTATTGCTAGATTGCTGCTTTTCTCTATTTTACAGACTATATGAGCATTGATTAATCAACAAAATAATTGACAGGATAACCTAACCGATAACAAAACGTATTTTTAGCTGCAGCGCTTTCATGTGTTGTTTTGATACAAATATAAAGCTGCCACATATTCCTCACATACAGATACAACAGTGTATGTTTAGAGAGAACCATGTTTGAAGCAGAAAATGACACAATCGCGATTTTACCTGTTTCAGTCTTTGACATTTTGTCATTTGCAGAAGATGGACGGTTGAAGTACAAAGTTAATTTTGTAGAAAAGGGGAAGAGCCTTGTGTCTGGCCACCACATCGCCTTTGACAACACACCGAAGCTGGAGCAGCTGTATGTCGGCGCTCGCGTGGTTGTCAAGTGTCAAGATGACAAATTCCAGTCGGCTATCTTGGCAGAGCTCCCCACCAGGAAGAACCGCTTAAGGTGCGTTTGAATGAGTGTTTATGCCTATAAACCAACAGAAGAAACTAATATGTCACAATTTCCCTACAGACAATCCAAATGCCTTCGTAAAGGTTTGATTTAATGTCAAACACATTTTCCAGGTTCTTGGTCTTTCTGGATAATCACGTGCCGGTTTATGTTGGTTTACCTTTACTCCACCTGGTGTGCAGACCGTGTAAGTTTTCACTCGTGTGCACACACAATCACAGCACCCCAAATTCATGCTAAATACTAATGTGTACAAAAAACATCAACATGTGCTTTATACGAACAGGAGGTTATACAATGCATGCTTCATTTAGATCTTTCTATCTTTATTTATATTTAAAAAGTACCTAATTTTTTGTGATTCTTATGCACCAGTGGACCAAGGCAAATTCCTCGTATGTGTAAAAACTTACGAAAAAAAAAAATATTCTGATTTTGATCCATAAAACTGCAGCTTTGGACTTCACAAATATAAAAACCGGCTTAGAATTAGTTTGTGGTATGGATTTGGGACACGTCAAATGTATCTTGCAAACATTTGGTGAGCATGTTCATCCAAAGCGACAGTGACACAAGTCGCATACATTTTAAGTCTTAAGATGTGTAGTTGACCACGTGCCTACTATTGTTCTACCAGACATTTCAGTCAGAAGGATAACCGTTTCTTTCTCTTGCTTTTTGTTTTTTTGACAGTGGAAAATTCTTTAGATGACATCCGCGACAGCCCTCACAAGTGTTTTATGAGTCGATACCTGAGGGACTGGCCCTACCCACATTTAACCCAGTACAGTGCTGGTCAGAGCCTTAATGCAGAGTTAAATGGAGTCCAGCAGAGGTGTGAGGTGCAGGAAGTCGACAGCAGCTTGATACATGTCGTTTTTCAGGTCAGTATATTTTAACACTACCGCTGTTTAAACTATTCATGTTCTTTGCCTGTTTTTTATTTTATTTAGATTTCTGTTATATAATGTCGGTTTTTTTTTGGTCTCACTCAGGATAATCAACATAAGGAGTGGATCCATCGAGGCTCCATCCGACTTGAACACATGACAAGATTTTTGGAACTGAAAGAAATAGAGGATTACCTGGATGATTCTGACTAAAAGCCCACAGACACAGATATTTAAAAAACTTTAAAAGTTTTCAGTAATATCCATCATTATCACCCCGAAGTGATGTGTCATCGGATTGTTTTGTGAAACAATAACTGAACCACTTCACTCTAAAATGAGATGTGAAATTATCAGATGATTGTACAGGAAAAACTTGAGCCGGATGTTTGTTACGATCTGATTTTCTTAAATTATAAAGTAGTAAAGTTGTTCGTCATTATGCATAAAATGCACACAATGGTAAAACATTTTAATTTTAATTTAATTGAATAGCATATTCAAGCAGCTGTAAAGTGAAACAAGCAAATGTGTAACATTCTCTTGCTCTTTTATTTATTTATTTTCTTTAGGGCTGCATGATACAGGAAAAAAATTTACATTGCAATATTTTTTTCGAATTTCGACATGCATTGATAGCAAACCACCCAGAGAGAGAGGGTATACAAACCCTGAAGGTGAGACCACCTGACCTACATACAGGGACATCAGGGAATACGCTCCATTCAGTGTCACTGTGTTGTGGATGTACCAGGGTACAGCTGTAGTTAGACTGCCCACAAGTGAACTGCTCAGTGGCAACACGGGACGGTTGTTCAGCGGTAAGCACTGTGCCAGGGCCTCTGTGTGGAGTTTGTATATTCTGCCTGTGTATGTTATGTTAATTCTCCAGTCCCTTGACCAAGGGTCTTGCCCAGATCTGGAGCTGGTCCCTGGGTGCCGTCTGACGACTCCTAGCACTTAATTTAACTTAATTTAACTTAATTTAAACCTCGTAACTGTCAGTGTTGCTACAGAAACCCAGATAGGAAGTGACAACTAGGAAAAACATACAGGCAAAAAAACAGACAAATCCACAAAAAAGCATAGGAACTAGTGCAGAGCTAAAGATCCAGTGTGGATGTTCAGCTGCTTCGGTCTGAGTTTTAGGAAGCTGAAATGACAGAGTTTGACAGAGTTTGACAGCATTGTAAATGCTCTTTGTTGACGTCTAATACCCTTCAGTTGTTATGATTTTATTTGAATGTGTAATTTTTGTTTTGAGTCTTTTTATGTGCTAAGATCTTGAAACAAATTGTCTAACAAACAAGTTAGTGATTCTTTAACGAGCCAGCAGCATTTTCATTCTTCGTCATTTGGAACCATTTAGCTTGTAAGCTTGTAGTTTCTCATTAATGTCAAATTTGTTTCCACTTATTTAACTGCTTTGTATAGTGTTCTGTGTTATTTTGTAAGTTAATAAGTAAAAACAAGTTTAACATTGTCTTTTGCAAGTGTGCCCAGCCTCATTTCCAGAGATGTATTAAAAAAAAGTCTAATTTCTCAACCGTGTTCATCTTTGTCTTTTTTTTTCTGCTGTGTGTCCGAACGTGTCCAACACCTCACTCATTGTAACCCTATTGTGTAAATTGCGTGTAAATGTTAAGGCCTCAACTAATTCAAATTCAGATGTAAAATGGATTGTCTTGTGCAGTAAACAAACTTACATATGTAACCTTTGTCCTCTGTATCACAACTACTTCCACCTGTTCACAGTATCCAGTCTATAGGTGTTGGCGTTCATGACTGCATTAGTGGAGGGAGCTGTGAGAAATCTGGTAAACTGCCTCAAGGGATGTCACCTGAGTCGGTTGGGAGGATTGAAAATGGAAAACAAGTCTGGGGGTGTGGTTGAGAGAAGTTAACTTACCAGACCTCTTTTGCCCACCGCTCAAGGCTACATTAGTCACCAAGTAGCAAAACACACCTGTTGGCAGTCATGTTGCATTGTGGGTAATGTAGGCGCCAGGTTTTGATGTGGAAGAAGAACACGTGGAATAAAAGAAGATGCTATTTAGTGTAATGTGAAATCAGTTTGTATAGTGTCTAACCAGGGGCGTTGGTGTGCATGTGCTGCCTCTCCATTCAGACGCTTGCTCTAACCTCTTTAACCTGTGTGTCTTCTTTAATATGTACTTTTTGATATATAATTATACATATAAATATAATTTATATGTGTATAAATATATATATATAAATATATAAAAATGTAAAAGTCTGGACACTGCAGGAGTGTGAGAAGTATCGCCAGAAGAGGGCAGTAATGAAACACCATGGATGCAAACTCTCTTTATAAAAACAAGAAGAAGATGACGCAACAATAATAAGTGTGTTTAACACGGTAATAACGCAGCTGGATAAGGTTATATCCGGTGATTTGGCATCATTTGCATCATTTGCATGCAGTCGGGACGAATGTTTCGCTGTGTGCTTGTTAAACCTGTTGTTATATCCAACAGTAGCTCTCTAACAGGGTCACCATGGTTGTAACGTAGCTACTACGAGCCCGACAGATAGCTTTTAGCTCCGACACACAGACAATAATATATTTTATCAGTTTAATGAAACAAATACTTGCACTGAAGTGTGACCAGACTTTTGTTCCTTTTTGAAGCGGATAAGCAGGACTTAATAACAGGTAAGCTGTAACTTTTCATACAACTGTTAACCAAGTTTTAGACAACTTCCCTTCCTCGTTTGTAAACTTCTTTGTGTCAGACAATACAAAGAAGTTAAAATGAATACCTGTTGAATACCAAGGCTGCATAATTAATCGCGATATTATCCAAATGGTAATATGGCTGGGGTTGCAATGTTTTGATGAAGGTAAATAAGTGCATGTTTGTTTGTTACAGACCCCTAAAATGTCCCATCGTCATGGTTTTAATCGTTTCTTTCATTGGAAATTAAATTTGTGATGCAAAAATGATCATTACCACACTAATCGCAAATCATATCGCGATATCTGTCAGCATCTTTATCGTGATAATAAACCTTCTGTACATTTACTGCAGTTAACGCATTAAAGAAGTTATTGCTTTTTATCCTCACTACACTTATATATATTGAAAGTCCTCGGTTATAGGTTTTAAATATCAGTAGGACTCATACAGCAACACAAACTAAAGCGGATCATCACACATTAGAGAGATGTAGGATGATATAAGATTATTTACTGATTGGGGCAGTATACTCACTGACTGCATCACAGACTATATTAACTTCTGCGTGGAGAACACTGTACCCACCAGGACTGTACGGTGT